AATCACAGCGTAAACATCATCCCCGTAAGTAGATCAAAATTACGCTGGGCGTAATGTGCCACATGTCGCGATCTCGTGCAAATCTGTGGGGAAGAAGGTGTGTGTAACATCCCGAAATTTTGCAGGTATTTGCAAACCCTCTTCTATTTGTTTACCTTGTCATTTATAACCCTTGGGGTTGGAAGTAAAGAGCCAAGATAAGTTTAAGGGCCAAGTTTGCAAACTTTGGCCAAGATGGAGTACGCTGCGCATACATAAGCATATGCTAAGCGTACTAAGGTCCGCCTTAGTACGCTGAGCGTACACTTGTGTACGCTAGGCGTACTAATGTCTGGGTGAAACCCTAATATTTAGGGTTTGGGGCCTATATAAGGAACATAATGTGCACCAACACCCCTCTTAACTCAGCCTCCACAGATCAAACTCGTCTCTCTCAAACCCTAGCCTCCCCTTTGTGTGTTAAGCTCATTTTGGTGTATTCTTGAGGGCCTTAAGAGGAAACCATTGCATCAAAGAGTTGAAGGAAGAGACCAAGCTTGTAGATCTGAATTTAGCTCGAGCACAAGAAGCTCCAAAAGGTATAAAGTTCCAAACTTTATGCTTATATGATTAGATCTCTCCATTTTGCTTTAAAAGACCCATTTCTTGTTCCAAAAACCACAAGGTGGTGCATGTTGTGTTTTGAATGAAAAGGATTGTCCTTCTGGACTCTTGAAGGGACCTTGAGTGATAAAAATGAGGTCCCATTAGCTGAAGGTGTCCCATGCATGGAAGGATAAGGTCTTAATGGATTAAGACCAAGCATTTAGAACTTTATGGACGTCTAAAGTAATAAAGTTCATGACTTTATGGATCCTAGGCATGTTAGGTCTCTGGATCTGAAGTTTGGGCTTAAGTGCTTAAGCCATTAAGCACTTAACAAGGTTTTGGCAAACTGTCCAGTACGCCCAGCGTAAATCCAGTACGCCCATCGTACTAGGTCAACCACCCCGATGGTGGTCAACGTTGGACGAGTACGCCCCGCGTACCCAGAGTAGTACGCCCCGCGTACGCCCTCTATTGGGCTTTGACAAACGGGCTTCAGGTTTTGGGCTGTTTATAGACTAAATGGAATTGGGCCTTTGCTGGACTCTGTAAATAAGATGTTTTGGGCTAAGTTGTGATAGTGGATCATGGGTTTAGGCTCAATAAGGAGGTTGGGCCCAATTTAGTAAAGTGGGCCAATAGTGGACTTATGTGTATGGACTTTCAAGTTAAGGACTTGGTGTGAGGCTTTGACCCAACAAAAGGAAATGGACTTAATAAGTTATGAGGACACTTAGTCAAGGGTGTAATGTTGGGTATTAACCTAGTATTTGTTATTATGTGACAGTTCGGGATTCCCGGTGAGACAACAGTAAGAGATTTGTTGTATTTCAGCACTACTTTCGAGGTGAGTTATCCTCACTATACTAAGGGGTCTAAGGCACCAAGGTCGACCCATTGGATATGATATCATAGCAGTGGTTGTATGATGAGTATGAGTAGTATTGCATGCTAGCTTCTATGCCAGTTAGGTAGATCGGTAGGACTACCTGTGTTGTTATGTGATTATCTGTATGCGCAATAGTTATGATCTATGTTGACATATTACGTGGGGTGGGTTGAGGTGATACTGCTTCGTGCGGTAACCAACAAACCCGGGAGCATTCCAGATACTAGCTGAGGGCCGGGTGGGGCATGCCAGACTCGTACTATGGGCTCGAGAGCATTCTAGATATGAGCTGAGGGAGACTCGTACTGTGGGCTCGGTGGCGATCCAGATGTGAGCTGTGGGCCCGAAAGGCAATCCAGACTCACAATGCGGGCCTAGGGGTAATCCAGACGGTAAAGTTGTGGACCCAGTACATGCTGATATTTGTTTATGTGTTATGTGCAGTGTATCAGTATTTTGGGGGAACTCACTAAGCCTCGGGCTTACAGTTTCAGTTTATTGTTTCAGGTACATCAGGGGATCGCGGCAAGGCGAAGGCGTGATCGTACAGCTCCTCATGTTTCATTGTGTTTCTGGGATAAACTCTGATATTAGACTATTTTGAAAACAAAATTGTAATAACCGTTGGATTTAAATGTTTTTGAAAAAGTTTTAAATCGGCTTGAATTTTTGGGTGTTACAGTGCAACTCATATTGCGCCACGTGTCACTCGCTGGTTACTCCAAAAACTAATTATCTTCTAAAATCCGTAACTTTCGCATACGAGCTCTGTTTTTGACGTTCTTTATATCCACGCGTAGGTATCGACGGGATCTACTACTTTCGTTTAGACTCTATCGGCTAACTTTGACTCTATTTTTAAAGTTATATTTTAACAGACTTAGACAGTTAAAGTCCGTTAAAAATTCATAACTTTGTCATCCGACGTCCGTTTTCGACTGTCTTTATATCGTTGAGCTCCTATTAACGAGATCTTCAATTCTCGTTTAGGTTGTGTCGGCTAATAATCGATCGATCTAAAATTCGATTTCCGGGTTGTGTACTGCTGTGCTAAATCTTAGAAAAATCATAACTTTCTCTAAAAAAAAGTCAAATTTCCACGTTCTTTTTATGTACGTTCTCGGTTTAACGTATACTACGACTTTTGTTTAGATCGCTAAGGCTAAAAATTAGTTTATCAAAAATTCACTTTTTTACGTTACGCGGCGTCGTGCCGGTTTAGTCGCGAAACTTTGACGGACCATAACTTATTCGTTATAAGTCGGATTTCAACGTTCCTTATATCCCCGAAATCCTTGTTACGACTGCTTCAACTTTCTCCAAAGATATTGAGTCTAACTGTTATTTTATTTTTGACACATATTTTCATTATTATATTATTATATCGTTATAAACAGATATGTTGCATATAAATCACATAATACTCAAATAATTCTTCTTCACCACTTCAAAATAGGTTACAATTGTTGATCTTGACTATTACATCATCATAATAATGCTTAGCCAGAAACGCGAGCGTTACAAGGAACTAGGGAGTAAAGGGAAAAAGGGTGCGCATCACGCATACTGTTTGCACGCGCCGCGCCTCTTGTCGGAACAGTTGACATGACTCCGGTCACAAGCTGCCACGTACCACAATCTGGGTGGGCCGCACCTGCTGCCCGTGCATGCAAATTTTTAATATTTTTCCGAAAATTCGTATAGCCCTCATACGATCTCCGTTTACGACGTTCGTTATATCCACACGTAGCTATCGACAAGTACTACAACTTTCATTTAGACTCCGTCGGCTAACTATCAATTTATTTTTAAATTTTTATTTTTTTCGAGGGCTTAGGCTGTTAAAGTCCGAATAAAAATCATAACTCTTTCTTACAAATTTCGTTCTCTACCATCTTTATATCGATTAATCCTATTCACAAGATCTTCAACTCTCGTTTAGATTGTTTCGGCTAACAATCAACCGATTTGAATTTCGATTTCTATGTCCGCACAGCTGCGCTACAAATTAAAAAAATCATAACATCTTCATATGAAGTCATATTTAAGTGTTCTCTATATGCACGCTCTCGATTATACGATTACTACGACTTTCGTTTAGATTACTCATACTAATAAGCAACCGATCTATGATTCGTATTTTACGACGTACTTTGACGTATAGGGTTGAACGCGAAACTTCAACGAATCATAACTTCTTCATACGAAGTCAGATTCAAGTTTTCCTTATATCCCCGAGATCACCACCGCGACTACTTCAACTTTTCATAAAGGCTATTTATCATAATTAATATTTTATTTTTAGTGTTTATTTTAGTCCTATTTATTAATTTATTATATAAACGTTATATACACAAATCACATGTATTCAAATAAGTCTTTTTCATTTATTCATAAAAAATTACAATTGGCGATCGACGTAGTTACATATTTTATAACTAATGCCTAGCGAGAAACGCGGACGTTACAGATACAAATTGCAAAAAATTATGTTTTCCATGAACGAGCGAAGCATATTGAGACCGACTTTCATTTTACTCATTATCACCTACAACGAGGAACCATCTCGCTACTATATGTTCCACCAACTTTACAAATTGCCGATATTTTCATGAAGGCGAACTCGGCCTCTCACTTTCGCTTCTTGTATGTCAAACTTTTCATACATGGTGAGTTTGAACGATGAAATTAACATAATAAAAATATTGGGTCGGATACATATATTAACTCGCTGTTCTAAAAAAAGACGTTGGACTATTTTTTTTATTTAACTTTTATTCAACCATTTAGTTTGGTTATCCCTATATAACTATTTTGTTTGTAGTTGTTTTATTCTTTGTTGCACTTCATTTTCCCCCCTTTAATAATAAACCTAACTGTATTAGATGTATTAGTAGCGGTTTTAGTAAGTGTCCAGGCGTGACACCAATAACATCAATTTTTTTTGTATGCAGTGATCAAAATTTCAATTTTTTTTACCTATTTTTTCTTGATGACAACACCACTTCAACCTCGACAACACCTAATATATATTTATGCGCGTCCGAGATGCATTTAACCATAAACAAGTAAACAACGAATAACCATAAACCATCCTGATTTATCGTGAACTATCGTGAAAAAGGGTGACAATAGCAAAACATCATGCACACGATAAGGACCTAATTAGATGCACTTATCCATATGGACCATATCCCGACCATGGCATATGCAAAATATACAAAACAAAAGAAAAAAGACATATACATTTTTTGACTTTATCATCATCGGATATAAAATCGACTTTATCACTGATTTCACTTTTTGACTTTATCATCATCGGATATAAAATCGACTTTATCACTGATTTCACTTCCAAAAAAAAAAAAAAAAAAAAAAAAAAAAACTTTGAGCAAAATGCGACAGTCGACATGTGAATGTTAATTTATTATTTTATTGTTATCGAGAGACAAAGTGAGCAGGAAAGTTGTTGGGAATTTTGACCAATTTATATATGTTTTGTCCTGTCCTCAAACTACCTTCTCCATCAACAATAACTCATTCCTTTCCTACCCGCTTTCTTCATCAATACTACTGTTTACTTGCTACCACCAAAACTCCCCACAAGATATTCATATAACATACTTACCCTTTCTCGGCGACTGAACTCCATAATTCGCAAATGGAAGACATAGTTACTGACACCGAATCAGCAATCACTACTCCTCCGATTCGTCAAGTGCTTCTCATCTCCGCTGGTGCTAGTCACTCCGTCGCTCTTTTATGTAAGAAACCCTTTTCTTGTCTGTAATGATTTGCTCACCGATCATCGTCTGTACATTGTGTATCTATATCAGATTGTGATTCAGCAGAGGAGTTTTAGTTTACTTAAGTTTGGATTTACAAACATTTGTCTTTGAAATCGGCTGTGATCTGTCGGTTGAGGTCTTTGTAGTTTGTACGGACTTCAATTTACTTGATTGTCAATCTATGGAGAAATTTGTAACGGCGAGTAGTTCGTATGTCTAGTTTTAGATTTCTAGTCATGGGGACTCAATCGTTTAGAAATCGAGGTACCTAAAATGTGCTCTAGGGCACAATTTGAGTATTAGAGAGATAGGATGGATGTCTATGAACTTATGCTAAGTTACTATTTGCTGTTACATACTATCCAATTCACTGTCATGCTATTTTAGTGTAGAAAGCGATGTTGTTGGCTAATAAAGTAATAAGGCACTACTTTGTTTATTGTATCAGCTGGAAATGTTGTTTGTTCATGGGGAAGGGGAGAAGATGGACAACTAGGCCATGGGGATGCTGAAGATAGGCTATCCCCTACCCAGTTAAGTGCTTTGGATGGGCAAGAAATTGTATCTCTTACTTGTGGAGCTGATCATACAACTGCATTTTCAGAGTCAAGTCTGAATGTATACAGCTGGGGATGGTATGTTCTCTTATATATTGCTTCATTTCAACATTTATTGGTAGTAAAATGTGTTTGGAAGAACAGTTTTATCCCCTTTTTGCTCTTATTGGTCTCAGGGGCGATTTCGGAAGACTAGGCCATGGCAACTCTACTGATTTCTTTATTCCTCAGCCAATAAAAGCATTACAAGGGTTGCGTATAAGGCAAATTGCTTGTGGTGATAGCCATTGTTTGGCTGTGACCATGGAAGGCGAGGTGCAAAGGTTTGTAACTTTGTACATTTTCTAGTTTTCCTACATATTTTTTAAATCATATGTTTTCATTTGTTGTTTTAATTTCTTGTGTTTAGTTGGGGCCGAAATCAAAATGGTCAACTTGGTTTAGGAACAATTGAGGACTCTCTTGTTCCACAAAAGATTGAAGCATTTAAGGTAAACTATACGTTCTATCATGAAAATCATTATCATTACATAATAAAAGTGGAAGCTTTTTATTTATTTAATTTTATGTGGTTTAACAAGGGTATAACTGTGAAAATGGTTGCTGCTGGTGCTGAGCATACTGTTGCTATCACTGAAGATGGGGATCTTTATGGCTGGGGTTGGGGTCGATATGGTAATTTGGGCTTAGGTGACAGAAAAGATCGCAACATTCCAGAGAAAGCTTCAGTTATCAGCGTATGTATCTACTCTATATACATTATTTTCCATCATTACATAATTATTTAAAGTTTAAACAGTTTTCTTGTATATAATGGTATTACAGGGGGAAAAGATGATTCTTGTTGCATGTGGCTGGAGGCATACAATCTCTGTTTCCTCTTCTGGTGATTTATATACTTTTGGCTGGAGCAAATACGGTCAACTTGGTCATGGAGATTTTAAAGACCATCTTGTCCCTCATAAACTTGAAGCATTACATGGCCAATTCATATCACAGGTGTGTGTGTGTGTGTGTGTGTGTGTGTGACATTTAAGTATTTAAGTAATATTGGTTGTGAATGTGGTTTTTGATAACTCAGATTTCGGGTGGATGGAGGCACACTATGGCATTAACATCAGAGGGAAAGCTTTACGGATGGGGATGGAACAAGGTTAGAATGGTAATTTCATAAAGATTTTTAATAATATTATCAGCATCTTATGAATATTTTTGTGTGCAGTTTGGGCAGGTTGGTGTTGGGGACAATCAGGACCATTGCTTTCCTATGCAAGTCAAAATTCCAAATGAGCAGGCACATCATTTTTCATGTGACGTTGCTTTCTTTTTTTAATGTCTAGGAGATTAATTAAAAATTTATTTTATCATCAGTAACAAATTTTCACTTTTTTTTTTTTGACAGAAAGTAGTTCAGATTTCATGTGGATGGAGGCATACACTTGCTGTTACTGAAAGAGCTAATGTGTTTTCGTGGGGCAGGGGTACAAATGGACAACTAGGACACAAGGAAGCTATTGACAGGTGTTCAAAAATATCTGAATCTGAAAATCTGAAAAATATGAGAATAGTTTTATTAATTCTTTTACGTTTTTTTTTTTTGTCTAATATAATATATAATAAAACCTGCAGAAACATTCCCAAGATAATTGAAGTTTTGAGCAGGGATGGATCTAGTGGACAACAGTTAGAATCCTCAAGGACAGACCCATCATCAGGTGCTTCATACGGATTCAGATGGAATTGGAATTCGAGATTCCATTCCATCGTAACAAGTTCAATTCCATTCTTCCCTTTCTATTAAATGACCAAAATACCCTTGATTAATATGTATTAAAATAAATAAAAGAAAATTCAAATATATATTTATGTTTAAATATATATTATCAACTAAAAGGTATTTGATTATGATTATTGAATTCCTTTCCTTTTCCTACGTTATGATTCCAATTCCTTTGACAGATTCCATTCTATTAACTTTATAATTTTTTTTTGGCAGGGAAACTTTCGGTGTTGCCATCTGATAGATATGCAGTTGTCCCTGATGAAAATGTATGATATCATTTCATTTCATTTCTGATTTACAATTTCATAGATTACAAATTTGAATTATTAATATATCAATTGAATATTAATTAAGTTTATTTAATTTTGTGCAGGCTCAAGCCGGGACCAATGGAAATGACGCTAGTGTCCCTGAGAACGATGTGAAGAGAATGAGGATCTGAATTTTGCAAAATTTCAAAGTTTAGCGTTTGTGGTATTATGATGTTGAGAAAGTTTAAGTAGTAGTGATTCCATGTTAGTAATTAAGAGTTTATATGCATGTTTATCAGTTAATCTACCATGTTATGTACTTATGTAATATGTAATATGTTTAGGTGGTTGTCTTTGCTTTGTTATCTGATGTTAATAAATAATAATTGTGTTTAGCGATGCATTTTGCTATTTCGTCTTATGAAAAAATTTAAATCTTTCAAAAAATATACATTGACCTTAATTTCTTGTATTTGTTTTCCTTATTGGTTAATGTGATCCAAGTGTGTGTTAGCCTTGAAAGTATGTGTTGTAAAAATTATGCCATGATATGATGCAAGTTTTAGAATGTGTGATTACCTTTCTGCCTTTTGTCAAACTTTGAACAACCATCAAATTTTCATATGAGCTTGGTATGAGCTGATTTTTTCCCAGATTGTAGTCTTGTGTCTTGGCTACATTATAGACTCCAAAAACAACTTAATTGATTAAGAATTGACCGACTTATACAGCCCTAAATAGGGACTGTTAGGGCTGTTGGTTAGTATTTCAAAATTTTGTAGAATTTTAATCCAACTTTTAACAGCCATAAAATCTTCACACGAGCTCGGTATGAGATGATTTTTCTCCCATATTGTAGTCCTCTATCTTGGATACATTGTAGGCTTAAAAACAACTTAATTGATTAAGAATTGACTGAGCTATACAGCCCAAAACAGGGGTGTGTTGGTTAGTATTTCAGTTTTTTTATAAAATTTTTCTCCAACTTTGAACAGCCATAAAATCTTCAAATGAGCTGATTCCCCCCCCCCCCCCCCCCCCCCCCCCACCCCCAAGGTTGTAGTCCTCTATATTGGTTGCATTTTAGGCTCAGAAAACAACTTAATTGATTAAGAATTGACTGAGTTAATTGATTAAGAATTGACAGAGTTAACACAACCGTAATGGGCTATTGGGTTTTTTTTTTTTTTTTTTTTTTTGTGCAAAATTTTGAAGTTCTTAATTTTAGATATGAACAAAATCATTCCAAAACATTAAGCTAAACCATTCCAACCGTTGAAGATTTCAAAAATATATCCAACTCTCCTCTGTTTGTATATATGTAGATGACACGATCACCTTTGCAACAACGTATTGTACGAAACGAAATAAACAAATTGCTATGACATCCGCTGTAAGAGCACTTTATGCGATGTATCTTATGATTCGTTGGTGAATGATGTATGATTTTTATATGAATCGTTTACGAAAAACTACATTATTACACGAGAAACCATTTCCGCAAATTGACAACCTTTGTAAAATCTTCAGTAAGGATAGAGCTATTAGTCATGGAGCTATTGATCTTGGAGAAGAAGATGTGATTGAAAAGACACAAAAAAACTAACATATTGATGTGGAAGGGTTTGAAGATATTGTTGAAGAGACACAATCAACTGCTACTGCTGGTGTCAATAGTAAACGTAAAAGGCCAAAAACTGATGATGAGGAAGCTATTATGATGATGAGGAAGCTATTATAAGGATGCAATGAAAGAAATGAAAGAGACTTTCAAAGAGGTTGGTGATAAACTTATTGAGACAATAAACAATATAAGAATGCAAGAAAATAAGGAAGCGTGTGATATGATAGATAAAATTATGGAAGATATACAACGTACACCAAAAATTAATGTCAAACGGCGAATTAAGGCGATTGACATATTTAACAAAGATCATTTTCGTGCCCGGTCATTTTTAAAGATGACCAAATATGAAAAGATTTGTTATGTGGAAATAATTGCGCATGGCTCAATAGCATAAGTAGGCTATTTTAAGTTTTTTTATTTGCTACGAATATTAAATTTGACTTTTTGCACGTCCATTATTAGAGACATCACACACAGTTTTTGAATAATATGGTTTTCATATTTCTTTATGTTTGGATCTAGTTGTAACTTAATTTTTTTATATTAGAATTATGTTTTTCAATACAATATGTATAAAAAAATATTAACTGACAATTACATAAAGTATTTAATAACAAGTAATGTTAAAAGTGATAAATTATAAACATAAAAGATGCATATTTTGACAAATTGTACATCATAATGCATTTTTATATAAAAAATGTTGTTTGAAAATGAATAAATATGATAAAACTCATTTCCTTTTCATTGCTTAATACAACCACACAAGGAAAATGATTCTTAGAAATATTTCTCTAATGAATTCTCTTGTAGATACCATATAGTAGAATCAATTCTCTTTTTTGTAGTTTAATTTTCTTTCTCTATGTTTCCATTCTTTGCTGAAATTTCATTTATTTGTACCGAACATGTAAGCAAAATTTAATAATAAAAGACAAATATAAAATCTAATGAAAATACTATTACCAACTTTATTATTTTTCCGGTTAACTTATGCTATGATATAAGATTAGCAGCAAATTTAAGCAAACCAATGCTTGTTACACTCATAATTAAACTTCATCTTTCATGCACAACTTTATTTTCTTTTAAAATGCATGTTAGAATTTCGGGGTTATAAAAAGGCTTGGAATTTTGAGAATTGTGTTAAACACTTTCAGATTAAAGCATTTGTTGGACCCCGCTCCCAGGGGCGCTGCCCCCGGACCCCCGTTCGTTTAGAGGCTTCGCCCCTAAATGACAGTGTACTTTGAAACTTGATCAAACTTAAACAAGTGTGTACTCCACACCTTCCTTACTTGTTTAATATTTATCAAGATCACTTTTTGTCAACAAAGTAATCTCATTACACTTAAATAATATTAATGATAACAAATCACCAACACATTCCATTTCTTTTATTTCAAAAAAATAAATACTCAATCAATGTTCCCCATAGTTACTGATACAAAACCTTTCAATATAATTCCCCGGTTCTCCTCAAACTTTAGATTGTTTCATATTTTCATTTTCAATTTTTTTTATTACGTTTAAATTAATTGCATTGTTAGTGGATTTACTTTACGCTTCTTACTTTGATAATGATTTTTGGCTGTATATTTCGTATAATAAACTAACTAAATAATTATTAGAGATATAAAATAAATTTTATGTGATAAATATTAATATAAATGATAAAAGATAAAAGTAAACTCTTTTAAGTAAAAAATAAATCAATAATATATAAAGATGTTTGTTATAGTTATTTAAATACATAAGAAGAGTTTAACAAATAATGGTGTGTTTGGTTCATAGATTCACAAGAATTGGATTGAAAAATTTTCGTTGAATGATTGAAGGAATTGAGCTTGGTTAAATTTTATGAAAATTCATACGTCAAGGGATCGACAATCTCTTAAGATACGACTGAAGAATTCAAATTTCATTCCTAATTCTTTATTAGAAAGATGAAATTAACTTTTATTTTTTTAATTGATTTTTTTATTGTTATTTATGTTAATGAGGACCCAATCTTGCTCTTCTATATATTTAATAATTGTAGTGGTGTTTGATCAATTATGCGTAATCTAATGTTAAGGGATTTTTAGAATATATCTTCATAAATAATTTGTAGTGGTGCATGATCAATTATGTATTGTTACGTAGCTTTTTTTATTATAAGTTTTTTGTTTAAAGTAAAGATTAAAAACTATTATTATCGAACAAAATTTTTCCTGTTTTTACTTAAAAGCTACAGGTCAAACAAGCCCTATATGTCTTGTAAACTTATCATAAATTCAAATTTTCATAAGATTTCAGATCCTTCATTAGTTGTCATTTTTTTTTGATAGATTCCTTTTTTTTTTCAAATATTATGCAACCCGAATGCATTAACAACTTAAGCTGCTTACATTTTAGTACTTCATAACTAAACATATTTTTGTAAATTACATCTTGGTACCTCATAAACTAATAAACATTTTAACAAAAAAAAAACAATAATAAATAATCAAATTCAAAAGACTGTGATTGTATTTATAAACTTACGATTTAGTTCAATTTAATACTCACCTTTAAATGACGATCTAAACGTAACATAAATTTGTGTGCAATGGCAACAACAAACCCATGAATCAATTAAAACGAGGTAGGGGAGGTGGGTGAAGACGATAATGCCTCCATTGGGTGTAGACTAATTGTGTCATATAGATGACCTCCGACATGTGCAAATGATAACGTGTATATGAGACAAACAAGATAAAAGTGAAACCAAATGAGCACTAAGATTTAAAAATTGGTAAATCATAAAACAAACATATGCATTCCAAATGAGGCAAACAATGGGAGTTTGGTCAAATATGAGCAGGAAACATGCATATTAGTAAAAAACATGTATGCACAATAAATATTAGAACACAAAACCATAGAGAAGGAGAGACTACCTTTCAACACTAATGTTTAATCTTCGCACCTTCCTATCAGAGGAAAGCACGAGCTTCTCCATATAAAGTCTCACACTATCCTTTCACTTCCTTCTTGATTTGCCAACAATAACCCACATAAATCATTCAACCACACATTCACTGAATCTTCTCTTCTCTTTCAATTATGTTTTCTAAAACGACTTTAAACAATTCTTCGAACATTCGCAAGAGACCAATCGCAAGCTAGAAACATATTCGTTGGTTTCGATTCTCCAACATTAGTTTAGTGACCACAATATGAGGTCCCTATCTACCCATCCAACCAATTTCAATTTCAAGGCTTTCTATTGGTTTATCCATCACAAAACCTAACCCGAACCCTAATTCCCAACTTTACTCATTTTCCCGAATATGTTCTGAAAACCCAACCCCCAACCAGAATATGTTCCAAAAACCCAACCCCCAACCAGATCAGAACATGGATACGTTCTGGAAACCTAATCCCCCAAACCGAGTTGGAACCCTAAGACGAAGAAAAGGCAAACAACCAATTCAAGTGTGGACAACGGAGGAAGAAGTCGAGTTGCCTAAATGTCAAGGTATCAGAGGACGTGAGGACCATTATGAGATATCCCTAATAGTTTCACTTAGGGATTTCGAGAAGGTGAAGGATTATCATGAGAAGACTCTACAAATCCCTTGAGCCTTCGAGGATTTGTCATGTTTGCCTGTTTGGTGGGCTTGGCTAGTTTCTTAAGTTAGGTCAAGTTGTCTTCGTATACATGTATCTCATTATACTTTTAAACCCTAACGGTTCGAACACTCCTAAATTGATTTTTAAAAAAAAAATCTCTCTAATTCGACTATAGACATAACATGATTGTGATGATCATGTGAATCACATAAATTCTTTAATTCTTTTGTTTCGAAAAGAGGGATTGCTCATTCAAGGGGTAGAGATGCATTGATTACATCAGTCATTTCTAGTAGATAACAAATTACACTCTGTGCAACCTTTGGACTAACAAGAACACCTAAAGGAAAAAAGAAATATTAATCATGTGGGGGGTTCTAAAATGCCACAAGGAGGCCAATAAGATTGTTCAAATATCGCAAAAATGACAAGATTTCTTGAGTAGTTACATCAAAACACAAAACACTACTGCAAGAAACTTGAGATGAAAGAAGAACACCAAAACCTCTTTGAAACTTTGAAACCAATCACCATCTCTGAATACGTGTTGTTTTACAGGGTCTTGGAAAACCCTTCAGCACGAAGTTCAAGAAAACTAGACGTTTCTTGGAACTTGAGCAAACAAGAGCCACACAGAAAGAAAGGAAAAAAACCCTAAAACCTAATCGACGAATCAATCATTTTATGACTTGTTTTTTTTTTTCTTCCATTAATCATCATCATGATCATCATTCAGAGGTATATACATCGAAATGGGTATTGCATTCATCTAACAAGAAATCGCTCTTCTCAATCAAACCTTTTAAAGAATCAAAACCGAACTCTGAAGAATTAGGATCACTTGTAGGAGACTCTGAAGACGAATCCAAAGTTTTTGGTATTCGCCTAATATACAAACAAAAACAACAACAACCTGAATTCCCGTTTTCCTTCGTTTTGCTTCTCTGTAGTCGTTTTCTCGCCTTTTTGATTCTCGATAGAACACCCCTCTTCGCTTTTCTTCCATACCCAATTGGGTTCTTCTGTTTGCTACTCCCTTCGTCGTCCGCGCCGCCAGCACCATCGATTTCACCGGAACCACCGTCGATTTGGTGATTGACGGACATAAAAGTGTAGGTATTTAGTCGGAGTCGGAGGATATGATGATTATGTGAGTGGAAGTTGGAAGAGATGGAAAAAGAAACCACACCCACATGATGAACAGGGTAAAGCGATGTGGGAATTGAATTTGACAGAAGTGTGAATTGAGAACGGAGTTTGTGATTGAAATTTGAATAGTTCATTTTTATCTAATCTGACAACCGTATGCCACATGGCAGATTCCAAATGGCCGTGGTGGGTGTCGTGTACAAATTTGTGGCAAAAAATCAAACCGTCCGTTACAAAGGAAAACTCGCAGAAAACAAACACGACAAATTTATTCGCATAGTGAAAAGTAATAACTCATGTGAAAAAGGTGTGGATATTTCTTAAAAGGTTATGAAAAGAAATTGTAAAAAAGTGAAAAACTCAAAAAAAAAAAGTAAACTAATTTGTTGTTTGGGTCGCTAATTGATTCAAATCTTATTGAATTAATATTTGATTGGGTAAAACTAAACCATAAATCTATAAATCTGACCGAGTTAGAACATTTTGTAAAACCCTTACCAAAACGAAAACCTTATCTAAAATTCTACGATTTAGAGTTTATTTTATTTTAAATTTTCGAAAGTTTGACACGTCAAGTTTTAAGATAGACAAACAAATCGAATCATTTATTATTATTTTAGTCATTAGTTATATTTCTTAATGAATATTTTTTTAATATTGAGAAAACTATGAATTGACCGAGTAAAAATAGTTGAAGATTTCACATTTATTTATCAATTTTGAATCAAGAATATAGCAATATGGTATAAATAGTAGGAGTATTATTTTAATCAAAACAGAATGTTATATACAATTCTTAACCTTTTAAATATATAGATTCTATGTAAACAATACGAGAAACATTGTTGGAAATCACAGCAACGATGACGAGTGAGAAGTTTTTTTTAAAGATATTTTACCATTCTATATTTTATGTAATTAGAAAAAGTTGGTCAATAATCCAATATTTCCATTATTATATTTTCGATTTTCGACGGCTAAGTTCTATTTCAGGGTCCTACAGCATCTTTAAATACTCTACTACCCTTTATGTTTGATGTCTTTTTAACACTTTAGAACTTCATAATTTCTTCTTCCTTCATTTTGTCAACCAACTTCTCATTATATTCAATTAAAGTCCTCATCCCATTAGTTTATGTAACGACTTGAAAATCTCATACTATGTGTTACAATATATATTTGGTATAGATACGGTTAAGAGTGAACTCAAAATAGTAAAACATGATGTTTTCGGTAATGCAATATATATGTCTTTACACTTATTGCATTATATCAGAAAATATATAAAATTTAGCAAATGCTTATTGGGAGTATATTGTAGTTCACTATGAGAGGAGTTTGTATGAGAAAATTATGGCCGTTCGAAAATTACGTTGTCATTCTGAAAAGTCAACAAAAAATCAGAAGGCGCGTCTAGTGTCCAGGTGGTGAAACACGGGCAATGGATGTGTCCTCCTTGTTCGCCACGTGTCCTTCTCGTTCGAAACATGTTTCACCACTCGGGCACTACACGCACTGCAACCATAAAATGACACGTGACGCGTGTCCAGGTAGCGAAACATGTGTTTCGCCACCCGGACATTGGACACGCTGCACCCTTAAAGGAGACACGTTGCTCCCTTAAAAAGACATGTGGGACACTGAACGGTAAGGATACATGGAAAGTTATGGTCCATCGAAAAGAAGAAAATTGAGATGGACACATAGCGAAACACGTTCAATGTCTAGTGTCCTTCTAGTTCAACAAGTGTTTCGCCACCCGGACACTAAACGAGAAGGACACGTGGAGGACGAGTCAGACACGTGGCGAAACATGTTCGTATGAGAAAGTTATGGACGTTCGAAAAGCTAGAAAAATCGGGGCGCCCCTTATAAGGACGTGACATGTCCAGTGTTCGGGTGGTGAAACACGTGTCGAACGAGAAGGACATGTGGCGAACGAGAGGGACATGTGGTGTCTTCAGAAAGACACATGGCATAGGGCACGATGCGTCCTCAAGGAGGCGCAACGCGTCCCCGAACTTCTCAGTCACTATAAATAGCTTGAAGTGTCATTCGTTGTCAGGAGAGCTCTGAACGATTACGCAATGTCGTGTAACCTTTGGAAGTACGTTTTAACGTTGGCAAACAGGAATTGAGATTAAAGTCAGTGAGCGACAGTTACGGTCTAGAGACGGAGGTTGTGAGGCCGTTTAGCAAGGGCATGACAGTCATTTGGGCTAAGTATCCTCTCGATTTTTTAATACGTAATTTTATTTACGCAAGTATTAAGTCGCGAAGGATTGATAAACCCGATATAGTATTTGAAGTTCGTAGTACGGTGTTATTATGAATTAATTGGTAAAACTGATAAAGGGTTTCCACCATGGAACTCTCGATTCAATAACAAGGGTAGTAAACCCTAGTTTATAGGAATGTCCGACTGTAAGTGTAAAGCCCACGAATTTGGGCTAGACATTTTAAGGATTATAGATTATAAATATTCATCTTTTTCAAATAGTTAAATCCTTGAATAAGATAATCGTAAATAATTAAAAATCCTTCGTACGAAATTCGAGTTATATAAATAACATTTATATATTGCGTACATGTTTTATGAACAAATATTATGAGCTTATACTATTTGTATAAAACATTATTATACAATTTAACGAATTACATCAAATAAAAGTGTAAAAATAAAAGATTATTTAGGATAAATAATCTTAACTAAAGTAGTAGTAGCCATGATGATGATCTCGTGGGTATAAAGAACGTCCAAATCTAACTTTGTATGAAGAAGTCATGATTCTTCGAAGTTTCGCGTTTAGCCTATATGGCGAAGTGTATCGTAAAATATGAATCAGAGATATGTTGCTTATTAGCCTAAGTAATATAAATGAAAGTTGTAGTCATCTAAATTATGAAAATGTGCATATAAAGAACGTCTAAATCTGACTTCTTATGAGGAAGTTATGATTTTTTGAAATCTCGGTGCGACACAGTACAACAGTGCGCGTCACATAAATCGAAATTAAAATCAGTTGATTGTTAGTCAAAACAATGTAAACAAGAGTTGAAGATCTCATAAATATGAATCTATCGATATAGAGACAGTTGAGAACGGAGTTCGTATGAAAAAGTTATTAATTTTACATGGTCTTTTACAGTGCAATCTTCATAGAATGTTAAGTTTAAGATAGAATGAGAATTAGCCAACAGGGTCTAAATGAAAGTTGTAGTACTCGGAAATACCTACGTATGGATATAAAGAACATAGAGTTTGAGAAATTTTCATGTTGTGAGCGATGAAGCATCACTCCCTTTCTGCCACGTGTTAGCATCTCAGAGGAAGACCGTGCTCCCCAAGCCAGGGCGCGTCGCGCCTCCCTTGTAGAGACCCTATAAATAGCCTTCAATGGATTATTTGTTTATCACACCTTTCATCTCAGGTTTCTCTCTCTAGAGGGCCCTTGTCACTCTAAAATTCCGACTTTTTGAAGTCTCTAAGTGTTCGCAACGAGGCGCTACTGCGATAGAAATCTGACAAAAAGAAGCCTTCAGAGACAAAGATCTGCTCGCGATTTTCCGGTTTTTGCTAGAAATTTTGTAAGTTAAGCATCATTTACTACGCTTTAAAGTGTAATATATATATATATATATATATATATATATATATATATATAATCGTTATTATGAACCTATAAACAAGATTTATTAGTGATTCCAAGTCATAATACTGATTGATCTACTTATGGGAGTGATGTCTAGGCTAGATCTAGTGAGGTGTTTAAAGTGGATTTTCCAAATAGTATACTCTATATACCAAATGGATCCTACCTCCGATATGATCTTACCTGGTTGTTCCTTATTTGATAGTGCTTGAAGTATTTCTTAGGACTATTGAAGAACTCATAAATAATTTATAGGCCTATAAATACCAACGAATACTGAAGCATAGTAGTATTTGTATTTAGGTTATTAAAAGGGATAAGCCGAAGTATTAGCTAAGAAGCTAGCTTTCCTGAGGATCTTCCACTTCAATCAAGTGAGTGCATAGTTACTTTCATGAAAATGATTTTAACACAAGTATTTATTAAAAATATTAAATATATGTTGAAAGTTTATATGTTAAATATATGCTTATTGATTGAAATATGCGTTAGATGTATATTTGATTATATACGTTGTACGAACCAGATATGGTTCTATATGTGTTAAGATGTATATATGATATTATTAAATGATAATAATAATAAAAGTATTATTACTGAAATGATAAACTACCTAATATTGTGTGTTAAATATATACACTAAATTAGGATAGTGTTGCCTAAACAAAGTTGGTATTAGATGTTGATTACAGGGATTGTAGTACAGACTAGTTTCTAAACTAAGACGTACAAATGATGTTTAGATCCAATTAAGTTGGATAATATTAGTCATACTGTATATCACGATAGTATCGCAATGACACTATTAACAATGAATAGTGAACTGGTCTAGTTGCACACTAAGGTTTGTCAAAGATATTTAGTTCGAGTTAAGTTGACATGGTATTAGTTATATCCTTTATTGGTATTACATAGACATGAAATCTGTGTTGATTACGGGTATGGTAATCTTGTCTAGTTATAGAATAAGACCCGAAGAGATGATTAGTTCAATTAAATTTGGATATTGGGTAGCATCATACTTAGCGTGTGTGAGAGATTAGAACAAAGAGTGGAACTCTATTCACTTGTAATATGGAGGGGTACAGGTGTGTACAAGAGTGCTATATTAGTATTCCCCTTCATCTTCTTCTTAGATGAGCTTCGTGAGTTATCGTTTCCATTTACAAAGTGATCGAATGAGCTTCATAGACTACCAGATAAGGTGTGCCTACATCAGACCACTGTTATGTATGTCTGAGCCATCTAGACAGCCAGATAGGGTGCGTATGAGGGTAGAACTATGTTTAATAATACTTGTTATCAGACCACTGATAAGCGTGTCTAAGTCATCTAACGGAGTATAGATAACCACCCCTGACTTAACTGTCATGTGGTGGTAATGAACAGTGGTTTATTCAGGTACTCCATTTCCCCTCATTTTTGTCCTATTTGATCCTCGCTTACTGTCAAGGAATGCCCAAAGCAGTATAATCAATTTG